CCGAACGCTGAAACATCGGTATGCAAGCCAAGGGCGTCACGTGACCCCGCCAGCCCTCTGCCTGGCCGCAATGGGCTGCGACCCCCCCGCCGCCCGGGGGCCACGGGGGCGCGGGCAGAGCTCCCAGCTGGGACACGCTCGCTACTTTTGCAATACTGAAAGCCAAAGCGTTTGCAGCATTAAAAGTATATAAATACATATAGTATAGGTACTTCCGGAACGTTGTTCCTTTAAGGTAAGGATCGCATTTTATGCACGTACGGATCATAGCCTGCTAAATTTGATCAAATGACTATATGAAAGCTAATATGTATATGTATATACACACACATACACATTCATAGTTAATTTACCTCCGGTTGTCACAGAGTCGAAATTAATTTCCCTCAGAAGAACAATTCTTTGAATGCATTTCAGAGATTGCAAGAACAACATGTATCTATGTAAATAATGCACCTTGTATTTTTCTGATGTGTGCACACATAATTTTTAGATCTCTGTATCTCTGTATCTATCTATCTATCTATCTATCTATCTATCTATCTATCTATACGTACGCAATATGAAGCACCTTCAACTTAAGGCAGAGTTTTCAGTAAGGCATCCTACCTCATCCTAACAAATTTTAAGAAGACTTGATAAGAGTTCTGTCCCAAAATGGACATCACAATAGTGGCCGTGATGTTTAATTAAATACCCTGATCCTTTACATCTGAAAATACTGTTGTTAAAGACAATATGATCGGAGGTGCGGAGGGGGGTGGGGGTGCGGAGGGAGAAAGGAGCATATGAAAAATGGTGGGCTGCTGTAATAAGCAGCGCTCTGATCTCCCTGTAACTTTAAAGCCTCTAGCATATTAATTTTAGTTAATAAAAGAGACAAAAAAACTATAAAGTATATATGAATTTAGCCTATTTTTTTATTTCTGTGTGTTCATAGTAAACATTTTTGTAAGTGACAAACACGGGCATATGACCACAGTATCACAATCAAGAAATTTTAAGACGACATTAACAATCACTCAAATTTATGCGGCATTTGCGCAACACAGGTTACATATTTGCAAGGTTTACCTATAAGTACAATAGGTATTAACATTTCACTACATTTAGAAAAAAAATAAAGGTGACCTGTTAGTGACCACATACATCAAAATATACACAACACAAACTGAAGGCAATCATTAATTTTGTCCCCTTCTGATTCATTTGAACGGGCAGTGCTGCAAACTGAAATAATGTTTCTGGTTTTTTAAATTACTCCGTACACTGAGTGCATTTTCTAAAACCCAATCTTTGGTCTAAAAGTAAACAAACAAACAAACAAACAAAAAAGGAACCCCAAAAAAAAGCAGTTCAGTAAAGAAAATTATAAAATAATAAATGGCCAAAATGTAGTTCTTGGGCATCTTTCAGTATTAATTCTGCTTAAATACAAATTACATTTTAAGGTTTTTATAGTTTTCATAAATTTAGTGTTGGTTTTTTTTTTTTTTTTTTTCTCTCAAGGTCTGCACCCACCGACATATCCATGATAACTTATAATACTGCAAACATGGAGAATCTGGCGGCTTTTAGTGATAGACTTATCATATTTGAATAAAAAAATTGCAAAAGCAGTCACTATTTAGATACACATTCTACTATAATTTTGTCTTCCAAACTTCATAGTCTACAATGTAATCTCCCCACATTGCACCTTGCTGACACTCCTCACCTTGGTGGAATAATAAACAACCCTAAAGACTGAACAAACGTACAGAAAATGGGGGACTTAATAAAAAATACCTGGACTTTTTTGTTTTGCTTTTTTTTTTCTTTTAATTATCATTTACAATGCAAATGTGTGTAAAATGTTCACTTACAGTCTGATCCCATGGATGTTAATGTATTAAAGGGTTTGAAGAAGACCCCTGATTTTGATGTGTGAAATAATCAGAAAGTCCTCCGGAAAGTCCCGTTGTAAAACTTGGCAAAGAAGGTCTTAAGGACTCACAGGGGAGAGTGGAGGGCGCCTGTGGCGACGTGGAGGAGGAGGCTGCCCTGGCCGTCATTGAAGTGCTGCTTTGAGAAGTCATTGAAGGGTGAGGAACGTGAGGGAAAAAATAACTCGTCTGTCCTGCTAGGAGGTTTACAGAGCAGGGGTTTAGGGAATAGGTGCCGGAGCAGGGAACTGACAAGCCACACGGCACTGAGGCGGCCAGAGCTGCTGCTGTGAGGTGATGAGTGGCATAAGGTATCTCTCCATTGACTAGTCTATCAACACTTAACCCATTAGACGTGGAAAAGGAGTGGTTGTTTCCCAAGGAGTTTTGAGTCAACACTGAGCTGTAGGGCATGGGGTGGCTGGGGTAGGCGGACGTGGTCCCATTGTAACTCAAAGTGCTGCTGGCCCGGGGGTGGTGCAGGGAGAGGAAGGGGGACATAGGCCAGTACAAGGATCCTGCCCTATCCATGAATGTCAGTCCGGTGGAGGTGAGCCGGGCGCCCCGCTTGAAGGCCAGCTTGGCCCGCGAGGTGGTGGAGCGCCGGCGGAGCTTGCCGGTGGTGCCCCCGATGAAGACGTCGTCGCTGGAGGGGTCCAGCATCCAGTAGTTCCCTTTGCCCGGGTCGTCGTAGTGGCGGGGCACCTTGACGAAGCACTTATTGAGTGAGAGGTTGTGGCGGATGGAGTTCTGCCAGCCCTGCTTGTTCTCCCGGTAGTAGGGGAAGTTCTTCATGATGAACTCGTAGATGCCGTTGAGCGTGAGGCGCTTCTCGGGGCTCTGCCGGATGGCCATCATGATGAGCGCGTTGTAGCTAAACGGCGGCTTCTCGTACTTGCCGTTCTTCTTCTCCCCCTCCTTCCCGCTCTCCCCGTCCTTGGCCCCCTCCGCCGCCCCCTTCTTCTCCTCCGCCGCCTTCTCCTTCTCCTCCAGCTCCGCCGCCGCCGCCGCCTCCGGCGCCCTGGAG